TTTTAGATTATACAAAATCCATCGGTTTAATGGATGACGGAAATATTGCTATTGACTTCATTTTGTGCATGATTTGGTTTCTTGTTCATGCAATAGCAGAGAGGGAAACACTGAGGCAGACAAGATAGCATCTTTCGTCCCTTTACCGGTAAGCTGCCGTCCGGTGACATTGTTCCTTGAAGAGAAGTACCGATCAAACTCGAAGGCGACGACGGCGTTACACCCATATCGGCAGCTGACGGCGTAGTTGCACACACGGTTAGTTGGCTGTAAACTGCTAAGAATCCGATGAAAACTACAGGTAAGAGAGCACTCGCGTTTGCCATTGTTAAAAAAAAAATTTCAGTTGTTTTTGATTGTGTTGAGAAATGCTAGCTATGTAGTTGTGTATCAAAAGAAAGGATGACAATAGTAACATTTATAAAGGAATTATAAGGAGCTTAATTAGGTGAGGAGGTACCATTACATTAAATGCTGATTTATGAAGAAATGCTAACTAATTGACATTTGTAGTACGTATATCGCAAAAAGGATGAGAATAACATTTATGAAGAGATGAAGTAAGAAGCTCCACCAAATTAATTGCAGATTTTTGTAAAAAGGATGAGAATAACATTTATGAAGAGATGAAGTAAGAAGCTCCACCAAATTAATTGCAGATTTTTGTAATATGGGAATTGGGAAGTACCTTTTTTTTTGATAAAATATTATGTACAAATTAATTATACCACGCAATTTAATGGCAAAGGCACAATTAATTTTATACGATAAAGGCTCTAATTTTATCACGAAGGAAGTACTAATTAGACAATATTTGCCTCATCATTATTTTAATGTAGACATCTAAATTCCAAAGATAATATCTGAAATATTAATACATGAAAAAAATGTAAACTTCTCGTCAAGTTTGTTTTCATTTATCTAATGCTAGTACTCTTGTAGGCAACATAGATGAAACAAATACGACTTTAATTTTGGATTGAAAAAGCTTTGTTAATCTAGTTGAAAACTGACTTCGCCTCACTTGGTAAAAGACATTTTTCTTAATGAAAACTTTGACTGGTAATTAAAAGTACTCTTTTGTAAGGAAAAGCAGCTGGTTGCTGCTGACACATTTTCTTTTTCTTCTTATTTCATATATTACCTCCTTTTCACAATATTGTAAGTCCACTTTGAATGGTACCAATATTAAGAGTTAATAATTAACAAAGATTAAATATCTATTTTTAACCTTAATTAGCTAATAATTACGAAATTCAAAAAACCATTATAGAGACAAGGGTAATTTAGGTAAAATAAATTGATAGTCATTTTTGTAACTACTTTTTCTTGAAGGCCCAAATATAAGCTGACATGTGGTTCCACCTCAAAACCAATTGGTGATGAGGGGAGTAGGATATGGGGTATATATGTTGGGTTCAAGTATTTCCTTCCATTCATGTGGGACAAGAGAACATGAGGTTATTTTCTTTCTTTCATTCATTTAACACGCCCCTCTCAAGCCCAATGGACTTGGACGGGTAATTTTATATATATATATATATATATATATATTTCAATCTTGCGATCGGTTATTTTTTCGGATAAACCGTCGCCTGTCGGGCCAGTCAAAGTTCAAAGGCAAACTCCGGATTTCTTCCGTGGGTTGACCAAAGTTTCAAGACCCAATCTGAGTCAGTCCACCTCGGCCCACAAGTCCTATAGGTCCGCGGATTAAAACCCGCTCTGGTACCATCTTGAAGGCCCAAATATAAGCCCACATGTGGTTCCACTTCAAAACCAATTAGTGATGAGGGGAGTAGCACATGGGATATATATGTTGGGTTCAAGTGTTTCCTTCCATCCATATGGGATAAGGGAACATGATGTCATTTTCTTTATTTAATCCATTTAACACTTTTCGCATACGGTTCACACAATTAATAATCATTTCTGTAACCATATTTGTCAACTATCAATTCACCGATCATTTATTTTAGTGTTTGAAGGAAAATGTTTCGTCATTAATTGTTCAACCAGTAGACAACATTAGTTGATTGTAAACTAGTGGAATGTAAAAGATTTTTAATATATGTCTACTATACGTGAGTTGCGACCAAAGCATGATGTATTTCACAGTACTCGATTCTTCTTGAATTTCTTAAAGAATCATGGCGTCATAATGAGTTAATTGAAAAAACTCTCAGATTAAGTTGTTCCTGCTGAAAAAAGAGCGGAAACTCGCAGAGGGGACTATTCCATCTTCACATAATCACATGCAATTTTTTGTTTTCGGTCAATTATTATGTCATGACTAAATATCGAGCTTTTTGTGATACAACATTGTGCTGAAAGCGGGAAGGTGCATCGAAAATTGCAAAAAATTGTATTATAAAATTAGTACAATAAGATTGCGATTCCAATAACTATGGGATCATGTTAAAAGGAACAAACTGACATTAATTGTTACTAGCTAGCTAGTTATTCGTTCCATCTTCATTTCAAAAGATCCCACCAAAAAAAAAAAAAAAGAAATTAAAAAAAGCGAACAAGAAGTGATGATAGTATATATTAATAGGACCAAGTAAAGGTCAAATTAACGGTAACACATTGTAAAGATCTCATTATTTATTCAATTATACAAGAGATGGAGTCCATCAATGGACGATAGAAATATTGGATGCATTTTGTGACGGTGTTGGTTTCTCACAATAGCAAGATGGTAATCAACAAATAGCATGATGAAGTTATGTTGTTAATTAACTCCGAATAACAATAGTACAAATACACACACACACACATATATCTACATATATATAAAAGTAACTTATATATATGTATATATATCAATTGGAAATTTTGTATTACGTACTAGTTTAATTTTAATATAATATCATATTAATTGGAAATCACAGGAAGGGGTTCCCCGTTTCTTTTCGGTGAAGTCCAAATCAAATTTGCTATAAAAAATAGCAAATGTGAAATGGCGTTGTAGAACTTTATTTCCGACTGATAAGGGCATGAAATAAGGCCAAAATTGTACGGTCCGTATGATATGAAAGCAAATTCATAACCTTAGTCATCAGCGTGATTGAAGCTTGGGAAGGTGTTAGGAGTTATGTTGGTAAATACGTCGTGGAATTCAACCTTTCTCACCAAGAAAATGGTCATTTAGTCAGTGATAGTGATGAAGAAAGTGATGAAGAAACCGATAAGCTCGCGTTCATCAGCAAGTTCAAGGATGGGGATAAAGAGGTGTTGAAGACTATATTTCATGCGGTTCAAGTAGAAGATTGAGCGGATGTGGACTATTTTTTGTATGATAGAAAAAGTAGTACTACCTCCGATTTTTAATATAAGACATTTTGATTTTGTTCTAGATTTCATCTAGTTAATTAGTTCTCATTTTTAATTGACAAAAAAGCCTTAAAAGTATGTTTTCCTTTTGTTGTGTTCTTTTGATTGTTATGAAATATTTTTTAAAATTTTTTTTCAATTAAAAATGTATACTAAGTGAAACATAAAACAAATCAAAATAACTTCTATTAAAAAATTCCATGTTTTTATCAAAAGAAAAAAAAATAATGCCTTCTGTTAAGGACCGGAGGGAGTAATTTCTTTATATTTAATCTGAGGACCTTGGTCCCAAGAGAGAGGAAATTTATATTTTGGCGGATCGTTTGTTTGGGTAGTTGATGTATTATCCCTTGCATCATAATCCAAAAGTTTTATATAGTCGATTTCGCAATACTAAGATTTGATTCTAATACCAAGATTAACATTTAACCTGAACCTAATGGACACCTGTTAGTCGTCAATTTGACAAGGTCAAGTAGTTAGTTGCCTTTGAAGAATTTATATATGGCTTGAACAATATTTTTTTTAGTTTTAAAATTCCATTGTTCGTAGTATTCTTGTGCCAAACCAAAAGGGGATTAATTAATCTTTTTACGGATACGTTATCAAATGATGGAGAGAGCTGCTAGCAAGAGATTAGATTTTTCGTTTTTGCCTTCTCAAATTTTGGTAAGGCTTAATTTGTCATTTTATTTTTTTCTGGTCATCTTTCGTACAAAATCCGATGAACGAAAAGCATCTCACATCGGATGTGAGCATGGGCCGTTTTTCAATAATTTATCTTTTCTGTTTGTCTTCTTAGTTTAAAGAAACAAACCTTGCAGTGTGACCTGGTTCTATCTTAATTTATCCCCACATGACTGGTGGGCTATTTAAACGGATGCTGGTACTCATAGTAACTTAATTACCTGGACGGGATCAATGGGCGATCAAGAAGTCCCATGGCCTAGGTTTTTAGTGACCTTCATCGCACCTCGAAGGGGTGCCCGCGTAAGGTCTTAACCCTACGGGGTTGATCCTACGTCATAACTTGTGGCCGTGGGGGCCTACGTTCGCGCTGCCCCCGACCAAATCCAAACCCTTAAACTTTCTCGGTTCAGTTTGTCTAAACCTAAAAGCCCAAAGTAAAACATGAAGTCCATGTCTACTTCTGTTGAAATCAATGGCTTACTTATAAGAGTTGTGGCTGAAGTAGAGAATCAAAGTGCTGCCACCGACTCAAGGAGCAGCACTTGAGTTGTGCTTCTAAAAGCTATCTAAGGTTGGGACAAGATGTCATTTTTGTATCCGGAACCTAAGCTATTCATGGTTTACTTGTGTCTATGGTTGGGATAGTCATTTTTGGACCCGAAACCCCAAATGTACAGTAAAATTTAGTCGGCCGTACTATAAGAACAATACAAAGTTATAAAAGTAATTCAAAGCTTTCCCTATGTACCTAGTAGGGCGAATGCGACCTCACTGCAATATTTAACTGTAAAATTGTTGAGAAAACTTGCAAATATATAATGGCTTCAGATAAAAGAAGATCCATTCCCAATGTCCAAACACTAATAAACGAAAACTTCAACAGATTAAGTTTAAGGCCTTAAAATCAACAACTAAACGAATTATAAAAAATCCAAAGTTGCTGATAAACAATGACGAACCGAATTATTATTAGCTTACACAAAAGTAGGAGGATCAGTTAAAAACTCGTATGGATTATTGTTAAGATTCATTGACAAAAGTGCACCATTACCTTGATTTTTAGAGAACAAGCCATTGAATTCCTCAATCGTTGCACCATTTTTGTTGTTGATTCCACTCACTGGAATCCATTTCTTGACGGACCAATCAAACCTGAAAATGTGAAACCTTTTCAAGTGATTCTTAACTACAAGCATCAATTCCCTTTCGTATTGGACCAATTGATGAAACATTGGATGTTCTAAACCATTTCGGGATACGGAAATTAAACTCCATGAACGATCAGATACTCCAAATTTTGCAAAAATTCCATCTCTGAAAACACAATAAAACCCTTTCTTGTCGTCTTCACCATAATAAACCACACTCAACATCTTATAGTCACGATAATGTTGTGCTGCATTGCAAACTATCATGGTATTCCAACTCGCATCTCCAATTTTGCACGTGCCAATACAGATTTGGGATCCAGATTTGTACGATGCAAAAACCAAACAATCATTGGTTGAAACAGGACTTTTGGAGAAGGTAGCAAGTTCAAAATAGCTTCCCAAAGTTGGTAACCAAATACAACTTTGAGAAAAGATGTGGTACAAGAAAAAAAATGTCTTCAGTTGGAATTTCTTAGCAAACAAAATCCATCCATTCTTCAATGCAATAGGTTTGGCACCAAAGGCGAAATTCGTCTCGGAATATTCCCAATTAGGGTTTTCCATGCTGTATGAATTTCCAATGGAAGGATCGACAAGTTTAGTAACCAACTTCAATTTCTGTTTCTTATGAATCTCATCCCAATTCTTTTCCCAGCTATAAGAGAATATCCAAGGCTCACCGGTGCCGCCTGAGTATGATGATGTCAGCCGGCTGCCGAATCTTCTGATCCCCGAATGCCAGCCTTTGCAAACTGCGGTGGACCGGAATCGACCCTCGAGACACGTCAAGTTTAGTATTTTTTCCAAGAGATCTTCGGGTAGATCGGCCCATGTCTCATTATGTTTGTAGAGCTTTGCCAACTTCGACATGGGAGGCGGCAAGAGGGATGATGTCGAGGAGGTTGGAAAAAGTAAATGATCAAAATTAGGGCATAATAAGATACTACAAGAAAATGAAAAAAAAAAATGATAATGGAACTGAGGAAAATTAAATAAGGGGGAAAAAGAAAAACAGAAGTAGTACAGGCCTAGTAAACCACGAAAACAGAACTGGAATTAAACCTAAAATGTATATGTTTGAAGATAAAACCAAACTTTTATTGGATCAAAGTGAAACTAAAAAGATTACATTAAGATAAAAGCTGATTATCTAATTCGGTAGTTGAACAAAAGTGAAGAATAAACGAGAATCCCAAACAATTTCAAATGTCCAACATTTGAATCTTTGCCGCAACTTTCAGTCTTTCACATAAGACTTTTAATATGTAGACATTTTGTAAATCACATTGCAACATCTAATAGGTCTATAATCTCAACCATTTTGAAGGAAATCAATCTTAATTGCAAGAAAGAGTTTAATTGTTTGATATTTTTCAGACAAAAAATATCAGTCACTCTTTTAATCTCTGATATAGCTTGATCAAGCTTGTTAATGTCTTCCTCCACCTCAAGACAAACCTGTACTTCTATGGATGAGAAAAGGTTGGATTCAATTCCGTTGTTGTATTTAAATCCATTGATTAATTTTTCCTTTCCACTGCAAGACAAAGATCTCTCTTGATACATCCGACCTGAAGTCTAAAGGTGTATGATCAGAAACGAGGGCATTCATTAGCTTATAGGCTTTGGTTTTTATGGTCCCCTTTTGTATTAAGCCCTGGCAAAACCAAACGATTGAATACATATGCTTGGCATCAGCAGCCTCCCTGAACCATTTTTGAACATCTTTACTTTCTTTAGTGCATCACATATCCCAAACTAGTGAAAAGCTAGTTGTTTCTGTCAGGATTCATTCGCACATTCTACCATCCTTTCTAACTGCGGAACCATTCTGTTTATTTTATGTCCTCTTCCATGGCAACATGGCTTAAGAAATTGTACAACAAAAATGAATGCTCAAGAAAACAATGATTCAACCAAAATCATCATCATCAATTATGACTTCATCTACTAAGAATTTTCAGTTCTCCCCCTCCCGTTGTCCACCCCCACACGGATTCCTCTGCCACATTTGAGGATTACCGGAAAAAAAATTAAACCAGAAGGAATCGTGATGGGCAAACCAAAAAGAGTGGTTCAACAACCAGAGAAATTGAGGCGCGGGGAAGAAGTTTGGCCTCCAAATAGTTTATTCACTTGCTTTCACTTAAAGTTTCTTCAATTTTTTAGCTCAACCAACTTGGGGCAGCCTAATAATTTGTGAACCCACTGGAAATCAACACTCCTAGTACGGCGGTGTCCAGATCAAAACTTAAAAACAGCAAGGAGTGGAATCAGAAAGAAGAAAGCAGGGGAGGAGGGGAAGAGGAGAGGAACCCAAAAGACTGTTTACTCTGATGATTAAAACAAATCCTTCTGTTCATCTTGGTTTTGAGGAGAGGAACGATGAAACCGGCAACCAGAAGGAATGGAGGGGAGCTAATTAGGGAGAAAGCGACGAAAAATTGGGTAGGTTGAATTGTTCATTGCCACGTCGACTACATCTTATATTACTTAGATATATATATACACTAGTGATGTCTGGTCGCGCAATGCGCGACTCTGGCCCAGTCTATCTGTAAATCTTAGAAATATTTATATTTGAAAAAAAATAAAATTTTATATTTGGAGCGATATATTTTAGAAATGTTTGAAGGATTTAGAAATGTTTTATAAGTGTGATCATAGAAATAATTGTATTTCACAAAAAAAAAAGAAATTGTATTTCGTCATGTAAGTTATAGAAATATTTTATAAGTGCTACTTATTAAATATAAATAGCCTTAATCGAATATATGTATTGAAGTAAATGTTAGATAAAATATAAAAGTATCCTAATAAATTTAAATATTAGTAAGATGATTTATTGATGTTCGGTCGTGCCAAATCAATACTTAGTTTTGGAGATTTTTAATAGCTTTGTAATAAGTTTCATCCGCAGGGTATACGCTTAAAACAAAATTGACACTTTGTAACAAAAACCTAATTGATCAATTTAACTTAAAAAACCACTCTAAATGAATGAAACATAAAGAAATTTTTTTTTTTAAAAAAAAACGTGTCACATAAAGTGCAAAGGGAGATTTAGTAATTTAGTTATGGTTTAGACAAAAGGGCAATTTAGTACTTTCTATATGTCACGTGCCAATCATATGAGGTGTTTGAAAGGGAGGTTTTTGTTTCTAATATAGTAGGATATATATATATATATCTATATATATATATATATATATATAGAAATTCTATAGTTCAGTCACAAGTTTTTGACCGAATCATCCAGTTTAAGTCCATCCAATAAAAATTTGACACATCATATGTGATATTGGGTTTGCTACACCATAACAAATCCATATTAACCTCGTAATTTATTAATTACTTTTTGGAAAATTGATAAAATCGAATTAACACTAAACTAATTATCAGTGAGTTTCACGATTTTATATTTTGTAAATCAAAGATCATCAAAACTTTAAAGTTCATTAAGATGTGAGTACCGGAATTTTGTGTATATTGTAGCAACAAAAAACTTTTGTCAAATCATGAGTAGCAGAAAAGCAACATTCATGATTCCAAATCAACTTTTGGAAACACATTCTCAGGCACATGCATTAAAAAAGGTTTAAGTTAGCGTCAATTGGCATCCTGAAAGAATTCCAAGTAATTGCACGGACAGTATTCCGGTTGGAGTAGAAAGTACTCATCAAGAGCCGATAGCCAGAATCTCTTTTAATCAACATGTATGGGTCACAAACCATCAAAATCCAGGTAAAGAAAAGCCAGTGATGGCTAAGAGCGGGTTACGGAATAGAAAGGGCTGAGAGCAAGGAAGCGACACATATACAAGTGATCTAGCTAATTAAGAACGGACCGCGAAGGCAGTCGAATCGGATCTCGAATTGGGTGAAATTACTAACAGACTCTAGATGTAGCTTGTAATTTTGCTATGGATACTGCGAATAACCTCAAAGAAGCACTAACCGAGACGAAGATCATTGTGATCGTCGTCATCATGCCATCATGGATGAGTTGGAATGATAACGAATCAGGCCATGATGACTATGCCAGATTCTGGTGGTTGCCATTAGCCCACTATTCTACATTAGTGTCGAATTCAAAGAAAGTCTTTTTTTTTTCCTCCTGCATATTTCTTGTTGACTCCGGGTTCAAGTTATTTGGAAGTGTTTAATTTTTGCAGTTCAAAAAAAATAAAAATAAAAATGCATCATATTTGTTTGGTGTTAATTTAATTTGTAGCTTTAGTTTGATAATGAAGTTTTCCTTTGGATAAAAGGAAACAAAAAGACCGATAATTGGATATGAACACATTGCTCTTTTGATTGGAGATTCTTGAAGGAATGAACCCGGAGATAATCCTCCCCTCCAACGGTCTTGAAAGCAATTACATGAAAATCGTTATAGCTTAAATAGTCATAAATTTGTGAAGAACAAGCTCTAGATCAATAGTCATGAAAATCGTTGTAGCTTAAATAGTCATAAATTTGTGAAGAACAAGCTCTAGATCAATAGTCCAAAAAAAAAAAAAAACAATCGAAGATGATTCAATAGCAAACATAAAATCTAATCAATCATATTATGTGAGAGCTGAGGGAAATTAACCATCATTGACAACCTCCTCCGTTTTTTTTCCCTCATTTGAGTTGTTTCTAGAAAAGATGATAGAAGCTATATCAGTGCGCAACATCAATTTACATGAGACATATCAATAGACTAATCTTGACTTATATGTTCTATTGTAAGTTGTAACTTTGATGTCCTCGATTTAAATCTTGGCTTCAAGACCTGAATTGCACATCCAGATTTGACGGCTGACATGCATACAAGTCACAAGCTTCCTAGGAGTGTCACGTAATGACCGAATCTACCAAAATGCAGAGTCTAACAACGAAATTTCAGCAAGACGTGGATAAATCACTCCTTTGCAAAGTCTCTCATACAATAACATTATAGTCCCAACAGCAGCTCATGCGTACATACTCCGGCACTATACTGTGATTGTGATTTAACATTAACTTGATTAGAAAATAAAATATAAAATGAAAGAAACAACATCTGGATTGATACGGCGAGATTTGACCATATTTCACATAACAAAGCTACTAAACAGTTCACCCTGCAGCTAACTTTCACCATTGCGACCATTGCGATTTGAATAGTAGCATTAAGACTCCAAAATCACAAGGAACTCAAAACAAGCGAAAATGAAGAAAACAAAATGGTTAAAAACTTGTATTATTATTTAACTGAAAATGTTCAAATAAGGCGTTCAACATTTTTTTTGAAACTGGGCATACAATAGAGAAGAAAAATACAATTTCCAACACAAGTTCATAGACAATCAAAAGTAGATTGAGACACATTGATCTGTTTAGGTTAGAGACTATGGCCACCAAACGAAATCCTTTGCACATCCGCAGAAAACCTAGGATATATGTCACAAGATCTCCTGCCCTTGACAAAGTTTGCGGTCTCAGATTGAGTTTTCCCAAATCTTTTCTCCTCCCCTGCCCTTAATTTCACCGAATCACCGTTACCATCACCCGTGCCTTTCTCAATATGGAGCTTTTTCTTCTCTTTGTGCCTCCGTTTCGGCAATTTCCAGCTAAATACTAAAGTTCGCTCCCACAAGTTCCCAATCAACTTCGTCCTTGTTCCTTTGCCGTGCAGTTCTAGATCTATATGGAATGCATTCTTGAGGCACGGTAAAAATTGTTGTTTTAATCAAACAATTTTGTCCTGCAGCTAATGCAACCAGACTAATAGTTTGCCAGTAACATTGTAATTATCAGGTGTATAGGGGTGTTTATAAATTTTAGAGCACCCTATTTTAATCTAATGGTTGTTATTAATGTTAATCATGTAACGATTATCAA